CCACACCACACCACACTATACTATAACACACCAGATCACACCACGCCACACCACACCACATCACACCATACCACACACCACATCACACCACACCACACCACACCACACCACACCACACCATACTATAACACACCACACCACACCACACAACGCCACACCCACAACACAGCCTGTGCAACAAAGCACAGCAAGTACCGTTCTTGTTTGTGATTCCGGAGGAAAAAGTAATCGACATGTCACCATGCAAATGACAGCATACATATGACAGCATACATATGACAGAATACATATGAAAGCATACATATGACACCACACATATGGCAGCATACACATGACATCATACATATCTATCCGCCAAATGGACTAGTCGCACATTCGAGAGAGTATCCAAACGCCACACAAACGTCACACACACGTTCACATAAACGTCATATAAACGTCACATAAACGTCACACACACGTCACGTAAATGTCACACAAACGTCACATACGGGACCAGTCTTGATCATGTCCAATTCGCCCTTCTCCAGCATCACATCCACGCCCACGCCAGGCGTAGGGCTCTCCTCAGAGGCAATGAACACAGCGTACACGGTGCAGTCCAGCTGTACGTTGGCTTCTGACATCTGGTGTGGTAGAGGTTGATATCAGGATGGAGAAGCATCGCGTGAGCGCAGGTGAGTGTAGGTGATTTTTTGTAGTCGTATGAGTGTGTACGTTGGACGTGGGTGTGTGGAAGTGGGTGTACGTCTATGTATATTAAAGTGTCTAACTAACCACCATACTGCACTAAGTACACTAACCACCACACTACACTAAGTACACTAACCACCACACTGCACTAAGTACACTAACCACCACACTCCACACCCATCCCTCCACAACAAAGACACGCACACACACACATAAACACTTGATTAAAGTCGCACACACACTTGATTAAAGATTAACACACACACACTTGATTAAACACACACACACACACACACTTGATTAAACACACACACACACACACTTGATTAAACACACACACACACACACTTGATTAACACACACACACA